CACACACACACACAGATTTAATTTTTGTAACAAGTCTTTTGTGAGGCACTTTATCAAACACTTTCTGAAAATCAAGGTAAACCAAATCCACAGTATTTCCTTCATCAACTCTTTCAGTAACATCCTCAAAAAATGTGAGAAGATTTGTTAAACAAGACTTTCCCTTAATGAAACCATGCTGGCTCTTTAACACTATATCAAGCTGCTTTAAGTGATTCTCCTATGCATCTTTAATCACACTCTCCAAAACCTTTCCAACAACTGATGTAAGACTAACTGGTCTATAACTGCCTGGACGATGTTTATCACCTTCTTTAAATATTGGACTAACATTAGCCAACTTTTAATCTTCTAATACTCTTCCACTACTCAATGACCTATAAAAATATTAGCTGGTGGTTCTCAAGTAAAATATTTAAGTTCCTTTAAAACTCCAGGATAAAAGTTGTCTGGTCCAGGGGATTTCTAAATTGTTAGGTTTCCCAACTTTTCTCTTATAATTTAAGAACTTAAAATGATATCTTTTACATCAATATTTTTCTCATACATTAAATGCTGTGGTTAAGGCATTATACTTGGCTCTTCCTTCATAAAACTAAAGAGAGCATATAATCTAATAAATGTACCATCTCATAATCTTCCAATATCAGCTTCCCATTATCATTTTTAAGAGGCCCAATGCCCAATCTAACATTTTGCTAACCCATCATAAAGAATTCCTTATTGTTTGATTTAACGCTCTCAGCTAACCTTCTTTCATATACAGTTTTGCCTTTTTAACTTCTTTTTTAACCATCTCTCTTGATTTCCAGTAAGCTTAAATTTCTTGCATTTATTATGTTTATCCCTAATATGATCTCTTAAACCTTTACTAAACCATACTGGCTTATTCTGCTCCATTGCCCTTTTTTTTTGTAGGGAATATGTATGTTTTGTATGCATATCAATTTCTCCCAAACTGCTCTCACATCTGTTCAAGATCCCCTCCGAGCTATTTAGCCCAATCTACAGAAGCCAGATGATGTCTCATTCCATCAAAATTGGCTTTTCTGAAATTTGGAATCAGGGTACTATTCTTCTTCAATTCTAGATGTAGTAAAATCCCACACCTAATAGTGCAATGGTTGCTTGTACTTAAATGTTTACCAACCATAACTCTATCATATTCACATTGGAAGCTAATATTAAATCTAATATAGTTTCCTCTCATGTAGGTTTCATCACCAGTTGGACAATTTCCAAAAACCTATCACCCTCACTGCCAGACTCAAAATTTTCCCAATCATTATCCCTGAAATTAACCTTTCCCATAATAAAAGCATTTTTTTCAGCTACCATTCTGATCTCATTATACAATTTCACCTTAACTTCCTCATTCTGACCTGGTAGTCTGTAACAAATCCCAATTACAAGACTTTCCTTTGTATCCATTAACACCAACCCAAAACTGACTCAACCTCTGTGCTATTTTCTTTAATATGCTCAATTCAACAGGATGCAAATCACTCCTCACATATAAAGTTACCCCTCCCCCTTTTTTTAACACTCTATCTCCAGTAAATAGTCTTTAGCCTAGTATATCAAAAAAATTTATCTCATCAAAATCATTCAAATCCAATCAAGTCTCAGTGATACCCATAATATCAAAATCCTTAGTTTCCACAACTGCTTTGAACTCATCAGTTTTACTTCTAATACTCTTAGCGTTACAATGGTAACAATTAATCATAGATTTTAAAATATGTTCATGTTTTATGCCTGTTGTACATAATATCAAAATCCTTAGTTTCCACAACTGCTTTGAACTCATCAATTTTACTTCTAATACTCTTAGCATTACAATGGTAACAATTAATCATAGATTTTAAAATATATTCATGTTTTATGCCTGTTGTACATGTTTTCCTGTCAATTATGTTCCCTATTTTACTACTATCATAGCCCTCATCTCTGTCTAGCCCTAGTTTAAATCTACTACTATAGCTAAGTTAATTGCCCTTGCTAAGATGTTAGCCCATGCCTTGTTTAAGTGTAAGCCATCCATTCCAAAAAAGATTAAATTTCCCATTAAAATTATTCTACAAATCCGACCAGCCTATTTGCTCATCCCTACATACTGATCTAGGCCTGGTATTCAATTCTAGTGACCTACTTAGTATCTCACCCCCATAATTTATTCTTGGCAATATCCCTGACAAAATCAAGCTATGACCCCTTTCCTTAAATGCCTTTATCAATGTTTTATACTTATAAATAAGCTCCTCAAATCCATCTTTCCTTACATCATTAGTCGCAACATATAACACAAAAACTGCATTGCTACTAACACCCTTAACTATCTCTCTGGTTCCATCAGTTATATCCTGTACCCCTGCTCCTGGACAACATAAGCATATTCTTTTGCTCCTATTTACTCCACATACTACTCAATCTACATGCCTAACTAGAGTCACTTACAATTATAACTTCCCTATCCTTTAAACTATTATAGCTTGTGATTCCATCCATTTCCCTTACCTGCTGTCCCTCATTACTAGCAAGTGCTTGGAATCGGTTGCTTAACCTAAACCCATCCTTGCCCCTAAGTGCATTATCTTCCAACATCGATTCACCAAAAGAAAACCTTGCCTTTCTAATCTGTTAACTTTTCTTGAGGATGATAGTTATAATCTGAATTATAGAAATGATATGAACTTAATGTACTTAGATTTTTAAAAAGCTTTTGTTAAAATGCCACACAAATATTATCTAACAAAATCACATTAGTATGGGTTGGAGAAAACTGGTTAACTGAATTCTAAAATGGTTTGATGGCAGAAGGAAAAGCTTATTATTAAAGAAATACAGTCAAACTGGACCCTTGTTACTAGTGGAGTGCCTCAGAGGTCAGTGCTTGGGTCTTTGATTTTTCTTTATTTACATTAATGATATAGATAGGAATATAATTTGTAAAGTCTGCTGAGGACATTAGATGTTTGGGTATTTTTAGCTGTATTCAAGATGATGAAGTATTGTGTATATTAGGCAAATGACCTTTAATTTTTGTAGGTGCAAGTTAATGCATTTGGATTACCATAACTTGAATAACACTTTTAATAGATGAGAGTAAGGTTATGGATTTGGCTTATATGGATTTTTAGAAAAGATATGACAAGGTGTCATATAAAAGGCTTATTAAACAAATTATCTCTATTCATGTTGGGAATAATCTTGATAAAAGAGTTAGCACAAAGGATCGCATATAAAGTGTAATAAACTTAAAATAAGACCCAAAACTCGAGTGCTTTCGAATAGTTGACTATTCTTCTTCAGGAGAACAAGTGAACTTCAAATTGGATTAATGTCAAAGTGAGGCACCTCAGAGTTCAGTGTTATTTGCTCACTTTTATTACACCAATGGTCAATAAATGATTTAAATTTACTGATAATATTAATGTCTTGTATGTTAATGGCTGTGAGGAGGATGTTGCTGCTTTACAAAATGGTTTAGATTTGGTGAGTTGGATAAATAAATGGCAGATGGCTTTTAATTATAATAAATGCAAGATAATGCATGTGTAATACCATAATTTAAATTATAATTGCAATGAGAATAACATTAAATGTTATGGAAGAAAAGGATCTTAGTGTTCTGGTTGATTGGTATCTTAAGCCTCACAAGCAGTGCACTATTTCAAGAGATACAGTAAATAGTAGTTAAGCTGTATTTACAAAAATATTGAATACAAGTCTAAAGAGGTTATAAATTTATTGTATAGGTCACTGGTTAAGCCACATTTGGAGTATTGTGTTCAGTCCTGGGTCTCTTTCCTTAGAAATCACACTGAATTGTTGGAAAGGCTTCAAAGAAGGGCTACTACAATGGCGCCTGAGATGGAAAGATTGAGATTGTTTTCTCATGATAAAATAAGAGTCAGAAGGGATATGATTCAGTTGTGTAAGATTACCAATGGAATTGACAGTGTTGATGCAACATCCTTTTTCATACTTAATTGTAAGAATGGTGGGACTAAGGGTCACAAATGTAAATTTTGACAAGGTAGGAGTCAGTTTAAGTTAAGACACTTTTTCTAACAGGATGGTTGGTCTTTGGAATGGGTTGCCTTTCAATGTGGTGGAGGCAGTAATTTGAAGGGTATTTATGAGAATGTTGATATGTATTTGAATGATAAGGGCTGACTTTAAGATTTTTTCTTTTCTTTTTAGTGGAAGGGAGAGCCTAGATGGATCAAAGGGTCCCTTGTTGTCCTTAAAGTTTATTATCATTTCTATCATAGAGTAGTAGTATAATATATATATATATATATAATATATATACTTCATTTGAAGTATAATATAAAACATAAACTGATGTACTGTGCAAGTTTGCCCATTTTAAATTCATAAAAGTATAAAAATTAAGCATATGCTTTAATTTAATGTAAACTTTTAACTTTTATTTTAAGTGTAAGTGAAACTGCCATATTTATAGTTTATATTATAGATAAATACTTAACTATATTTTAGTTTTACTGTAATATGTAGTTTAATATTGGATAACTTTAGTTCAACTTCAAGACACAACACTATTGCCTGTTGTTAATGTTTAAATCATTTTACTTTATTAACTGCAGTTGATTTAAGGAGTACTACCTTTATTTTGAATTCAATAAATATTTAATGTTTATTTACTTACCGTCGGTCAAAACAACCTGAATATTTGGTGTACAAAAGTCGATTACCTTTCTCCTATTTACAATTGTATGCGTCATCTCACGGTGGCTTTAAAATTAAAATTACGTAGTAAATAGACAAATATCAAGGTGTAGAACTCAAAAAGCATTTAGGTATTACATATTATTAGTAGAAATAAAATAAATACATTAAGTATATATATATATCCCAAGTTTGGAAGGAACTAATAAATGTTAAATAAAATAAACTTGCAGATACTGAAAATAAAATAAACTTATTAATTAAATTATATTTATCTGAAAGCAAATTATTGGGGCATTGTCATATATTACACCTAAAAGTTAACAAACTCCAACATGTGTTTAAGAAAAGCCAGCAGTAATTTTTAATTAATACACACCTTCATGTAAATACTATTTTTGAGAATTTTCGTACGAATAGTGAGTTTGTAGTTTTACGTGCCTACATTGCATCCATTTGGAATTATTCTCACTAAACATTTTAAATGTTGAATTTAATATTGAACTATATTATTTAACCTAAATCTCTGAATTTTAAATGACTTAATGTCCTCTAAGTAAGTATTGTTCCAACAAACATTTCGAGAAATGTATATTTTGCTCCCACCCCGAGGAAATGCATGCTTAATAACCATTACTTAATAACAGAGCACAGATAACCCATTGTGTAGCTTTGTGCTTAATTCCAAACAAACAAACTTAATAAAAAACGCAAATTAAAGTTGGGTACAACGAAGGGCATGTCCACCCGGGATAACGAGATCACGGGCAGACCCCTTATAGGAGAGCCCTGCCACCTCATGTGAGGTAATAAGAATTTAGTTTTTAAGACTTTTTGACTCCTACGACATTAAAGTGTTATTATTA